GTTTGTAATTTTCTTGGGGAATCCAAAAAGATTCTCGAACACGCGAATAAAACTTCCATCCGCAATGCTGAGTCGGCAGGGTTCGTCGTCGCGAGATGAGGTCGTCGAGCCGACACATCGATCATAGCCGAGGATCACTTCAAGCAATCCTCGATTGGTGCGCGCGAACCTACCTACTGCGAATCTCCATTTCCGCTTCCGATATAGGAAGTAGCCAGCATGGAAACGCTTTTCCATCTAACACGATCGCGTCTCTCTTTTTTCAAAACGTTTTCATTACATCAATTATTAGCTATTTTATATCTTTTATAGCTTTCAGTTACTTATAATTCGATCCTATTTTTTTGCCTCGCACTAATTAATTTTGCAGAATAAATTTTGCAGAATGAACGAGTTAAAACATGAAAAACATGTATAGCTTAAATTAAAAGATTCTTAAAGAAGCACTTGTGATTTTTTTACTTACTGAAGCAAAAACACAAATATTAATTTAAAATCAATAAAATCAATACAGATTGTATGACTCCTTTAGTATTAAATTGAACTATCAATCACAGAGGAATAGCACGGCATGTTAAAAGCCAAGTTATCAAATATAATATTTAAAGTGTAAATTATAGATGTTATAACGAATCAAATTTTTAATTTTATTTGCAAAATCTATATCAAATGCTTAGTTTATAAAATTTTTAATTTTTTACAAATTTAAGAAATAATTGTAAAAACGTAACTTTTAGAAGAAATATGTATCAATATATAATATGCATTGTGTATATTTTTTATAAAAACGTGAGTAAAAATTTTCTCGACATCAAAAAGAGAAAAGCTCGAAATTGGAATAGTTTTAATAAAATATCTTACTATTAAAATTTGATATTGGAAATGTTCCAATAGCGTTCAGAGCGGCAAAATCTCGACGACAAGAAATATTTTAACACCGTTTTCACCAAGAATTAATGCACTATATATACAAAAGAAAATAATTATTTTCAAAAAATATTTTAATAAATACTACGTGAAATATATTTTTTTTAAGTCTCTTCGTTTTTTGAGTTTATAATCTTATTTTGTTTATAAAATCATAGTAACGCTATAACATATATCTTTCTTAATAGAGATCTGCGATGATTGAGTAGCAGTAGTATGTTGTATATAGAGCCTGACATTTTAAAAACTATATTGACATGACGCGAGACAGCCTGTGACAATTCGTCATATGTGTCTAACATCGTGCTTGTTATTGTCAAGCGGTGTCTACCGCACAGCTGCGCGTATAGCGGCTGAATCGGATAAGCACAGACTCCTCGTATTCCTTGCTCGTGTTGTCCGTCAGAATCCAGGGAACACACATCACGGTTTACACGGAAAACCAATTAGGGAGGGCATACCATGAAACTTACAGTCAAGTGTTCTCCCAACAAGGACTCTGATACGGTGCAATTTCTGCTAGTAATTTAATTTCTTTCCCCGGATCGCCGGAAAGCGCGGCAATCCACGTGATTAGATCAATATATCAATACGAATTCTTCAGATGTTTTTTCAAAGATTCTTGAACTAAGTCTTTATATCGAATCAACCTTCATTACAGTATAGATGTCTATGCAACTTATTTGGTATGTACTTTGATGAGAACGTAATTGCTACGAATTCGTTGAGATTTGTTGGGAATTCGTGAGAAAACAAGAAAAAAAACGCATAAAAATTCGCACACGATAAATCGACGAGGTTTCCTTTCATATAATTAATAAAGAAACAGCGCGAATTTTGGTTTCACCTTAACGCGCTAGCTTAATATAAAACACACGTTACTACAAGATGTTATAGAGCTCTTTCTCCCTTTAAAAACTGCTGCTTAAATCTGCGCTTAAAGGCAAAGACTTTTTGTGAAAAGAAGGTTAGGATGAGATTGTTTATCTTCTGTCGCGCACCTCCTGGTTTTCCACATTGGAAAATAAAAGAGCTCGGCTGCCGACAGTCTTCTGAAGATATAAAATGTTGTCTCTGACATTATCTCTTGTCTTGATGGCGATGATTCTTGAACAAACTGATGCCAGTTACCGGAAGCATCTTTGCGGCTTACATTTTGAAGCTTATATTTTATACTTCAGTTACGAAATACACATACACACACACACACATATATATTTGCTCAATTTTCTTTACAATCTATTAAGCTTCTCAATCTCTATAAAACGGAGATGAGTTTTTTCCACAAATCTACAACATAAAACCTGACATGAAAAATGACACGTGTGCGACATTTGCTGAGAATTTTTATGAAAAATACGTAAAGAATACATGAAGAAAGGAATGTTATCTTAGAATTCTTTGGTGTATTATGTAAATAACATAATTAAAAATTTCTCATTTCATCAAACTTCTTAATGCAGAAGTCAGAGATGCATTGTTATCTTTTCTCGAAATTTTGCAAAGTCAAATGGATACTAGTACCTGCCGAAAAGTGCTCTCAGAAAGTATTACGAAAAGTATCTTCTCAAGCGAGGATATCGTTTTTCTTGAAAGAAAGCCTGTGCCCGCAATAATGGCTATCTTGGTTGGCCTATCTTTGAAAGTTGGGAAGAAAAAGCAAATTCATCACCAGATAAAAGAAACGCAACGCACAGGAATATAAACGAAGCTATGAGAGCCAAATAAAAAAAAAATGTGATTGATCGCCGATTCGTGTCATCTTAGTTTGAAAAAGCCAAGAGAGAAACACATAAACAACTATTATATATTATACATTTAGATGCGTAACGTAAAGATCTCTTTATTCTTGTTCTTTTAAGAGATTTGATCGGCCGTTTCAGCTCCACGTCATCGATATATAAAGCAAGAAGTACAGTTATTGTTACTAGTATTGGCATGCCGTCAATAAACGTGCTTTCCTAAGTTTTGTACATAAATTTCCTCCGATAAAGAAGAGAGACTTATGCGACAGCGAAGGAAATTTATTTCTCGAAAGCAGTTCAACGCTTATATTATTTTTCCAATCGCTTTGTTGATAATATTTTTTTGTTTCGCGATAGAAAAAAACATTAAATTCTCGTATAGTTGAAAAATAATTGCAATTTGTAACACTAATATACGTAACAAAAGATGCACAGTTATATATATGCGCCGGAGTCTGTGACATAAAGCGCGAAAAAACTACAAAAAATAAGAAAGTGTCTGCGCACGTGACGCGAGTTTAGTACCTAGACAGTTAGTTAATGAGTTGAGTGTCTAACACGTTGCGTGTATCTTTAAAGTAATGAAAAATTTTAATTATAAATACTATACTACTAAATTTTAATTATAAATACTATACTACTAAATTTTAATTATAGATATTAATTACAGATACCTCTAAGCTTTGAATTATCAAAAATAAAAACACTATTATTATTTTTTAAATTTAATATATTTTTTAAATTTAATATATGTTTTGTTTTTTTTAGTAGGAAAGCATGTAAAACTAATTTGAATTTTGGTAATTATAACTAATATCTTACTTTCTTTGATATAATCGATAAGATTATATAGAAGATTGTATTTTCCGACCTTTGCCAATCCACCAAAACGGATATTATCTTTCATCTTATGGATAGAAGACTATACCAGATATCGAATACACTGTCAATGTATATACATTACAATCTAGAAAGCAGACTATACTCCAGGCTTTGTTTCAGTTATAAATCTTTGTAGTAAAGCAAATTTAAATTTTCATGATATATATACACAGTAAAAAATCGTGCGTCTACGTTAAAATAAAATAAAACACAATTTTTTGTGTTATTCCGTTTTGATTATTACTTCAATGTAAAATTAACATATAACATGCGTTACATTTATGTTAACTTCAAAATCTAACGTTATGCGCATGTCACTTAAAAATAGAATATTATTTTGAATACTTTTAACATAATTATTTCAATTAATCTACGAGAAATCTTAAAGTCATCTCAACATTCTAAGAACATTATAAGAAAAGTTAAAGTAAATCTTAAAATAATCATGAACTTTGACACACAAAATAATCAGGTTTACTAAACTCAAAGTTAAAATAATATTATTAAGTGTTAATTTAACACACAAAAAGTAAATGTTCTTTTTTGAAGTACATTTCTTACGAATTATTGTAACTACTTTTCTATGTAGTTTTTGATTATTTTTATATCACACTTAAAGTAAAAAATGTAATAAATATATTTATATTTGTTACATTTTTGATTCCGAAATGTAAAGTGTTGTGTCAATTACATTACTAGTTTGTCAATAAGTAACGCATGACGAATGAGTTAATTTAACATTTTTTACATGTCCCACTCAAACTAAAATTAACATTTTCTGTATGTGATGTATTATTACAAACTAAAATTAATTTAAATTATCTTACTGTGTAATATATATTATTTTTTTCAATTAATCAGAAAACTTTAAAGCTGTAGTCCATCGTGGTGAAAATAAACAGAAAATCGAAAATGAAAAAGATCTTTAATTGGAACGTTTTAGTTGTTTATTTTAATAACCATCTTCAGCCAATTGTAGCAATAAAGATTAGAAAATTTTGTCTGAACAAAGATATTAGAATGATATCATTTGACATGTTTTTATTATTCTAATATCTTTGTTCAGACAGAATTTTCTAACATTACTGCAATTGGCTGGAAGATGGTTAAAATAAACAATCGAAACGTTCCAACTACGAATTGAAGATCTTTTTTGTCTTCAATTTCCTGATTATTTCCAACGTTCATCGGTGGACTACGGCTTCAAAGTTTTTTCTGATTAATTTCAATTCTTAACTTCTTAAGCTTCTTACTTAGGTTATTAATTTTTTCTTATATACATATATTATTTGGCGCGCGCGCGTATATTGTACGTTACACATACATAATATATAATTTCACAGAATAAAAAAAATTATGTGAATTAGAATTATCTCTGTTCAGTATCTGCAAAAGTTTTATTAAGAAATATCTTTCTAGATGTTGTCGTTATTTCTTTTGTTACAGGACAATTCAACATGAAAGTGCTCTTGCTCTCTTTGTACTTCAGTTTCCTCGCCATCGGCGAATCTTACCGAGAGAAAGAAGCACGTTTAATTCGAATCAACGGCAACTTGATTCTTGGCGGAATATTCCCGATGCACGAGCAAGTAAGATTTTCTTTATTTTTTTATAGCGTGCATATTGTTTTTAAAATCATCCACGCGGTAGATAGAGAAAATGCATTATCTTTGTTTGTTTAGGTCGCAACTCTTACGGGCGAGTCTCCGTGCGGTGCGGTGAAAGAAGAGAAAGGTGTGCAACGGCTGGAAGCTATGCTGCACGCTCTTGATCTTATAAACGAAGACACGGAAATCTTGCCGAATACTACCTTAGGAGCTCTGATCATCGATTCCTGTAGCAGCGACACGCACGCTCTGGACCAGAGCATGGAGTTTATGAGATCGTACATGAACAAGGTACATCCTCCGTGTGTGTCTCTTTTTAAACATAATATATTGTTATATCTGTAGTTATGTCAGAGAAAAACTTACTTCGTGATTCACTTTAAAATTCTACTTTTTGTTAATTTTGAGAAAAATTCCGAAGTTTTACTTTATTAACTCTATTGTACTAAATATAATAAAAGCAATTTATGCGATTATGTAGTATGATATAACATAGTATGATATAAAACGTGCGAATGAAATTCTGACGGAGAGACGATTTAAACGTACAAGCTAAAATAACTGTATAAGAGTTACGTAATTCCCGTAAAAAAAGACGAACTCTACTTTTCGGAAGGAAACTGAAGACACATGTACGCGCGTGCTCGCAATGTCGTGGTTCGTTCTCTTCGTTGCACTTCTCGCAACTGCAATTTCTCACAGCTGTCGAGAATACTGGAACTACCAGTCCAATTCGATCTATTTGTTTTCCTACGAGACTGTAGTGATATATGAATAAAATTTGCTATCGCGTGAAAACCGATTGGAAATCAATATTTTTGTAATACGACTTTGTAGTTACTACGCCTGATAAGTCAGTTGAGTTTGTCTTTTTTTTTTTGTCTCACATCTTTGTTATCACAAACCAGATGCTTTATATTCAAATATTTATTAAAAAAATTATTTGTTTCAAAAAGGCTCGATCCAAACCAGAGACGTTACAAGTAATTGCAATTACATTGTGTAGTCAATTAACGCTGCACTCTGATAAAAAAAAATTATTACTTAATAACAAACGTCTAAAATAGTTGTAAAAAAATAAAAATTCATTAATGCACAATTTTATAACTGCCGTGATAATTAATGTTAGCAGATTTTGTGCCACTTTCTCAAACAAACATCATTATATTGCGCTAACAAAGTGTTTCTTTTCTTTTGCAAAAATTTGAAATTGCTGAACGCTATTGATTAACAAGTAGATATAAATAATGTCTATACATATTCTCACTCTACTATTGAACGTGCCCGCACACTTTAGACATAATAATTTAATCTATTTCCTTTCATTTCCGTCATCGGCGACCAACTCGGTTATAACCGCAAACCCCATTTAGGTACATCATGACGCTGACATTGCGACACGTGATTTAGGAACCCAACCGGCCGTTGTCCGAGGCCGTTTTGCAGTGGTTTCATATAAACATTCTATTGCAAATTATTACAACCTTAATCCGGTATTGTCTTGCGCTGCTTAATTAATGTGAATCCGACTATACGCGTGTCGGCTGAAATTTCGTTAAATTTGGAAAAGACACATTATTTTATCATAATTTGCGGACAGATAGACGTGACATTAATGCGAATTGCTTTTATGTTACTATCTCGTGCAACGTGCATAAATTAAGCAGAAATCCGTTCAAAAAGCAAAAGCTGCGAACATTTGAGTTTAATTTCAGTCGGAGAGTTTCGCGTATAATTCCATATTTCAAACATCAAATTCTCGCTTTATAAAGCATCGAAGCGCGGACTCTCCGTAGAATTCAATTTGACCCCCGGAGATTCTCTGCGAAATATTTTCGGGATGCGCGAGGGACACGTTGCGGTCCATGACAGTGTAACGTTATCAGGACATACGCTACATATATACAAGGCAAAAGAAGGCAAGTGAACGAGAAACGCGGCGACAAAGTTCGTTTTTCTTCGAGAAGCGACTCGCGCGAGTAGTTCGTTTCACAACCGAAATAGAAAAACGACTATCGTACAAAAGAATGAGATGTGCGTGATCTCGGACGAGTAAAGTGAATTTTGTTATGGAAGTCTCATTTTCGAGCGTTCCCGATATTCCCATAGAACATTTTTCGATAAAAAAAAAACAAAAATTATCAATTTTGACACTTACATTGTTTTCTACAAAGAATCTTCAATTGTTAGCGATAGTCGGTTTGCGCGATCTTTTCACTAGTCTTGTCTCATCAACGGACGCGAATCTTTTGTCTCTCCTCTTGGATTACACGTTTAATCGTCGATTGTGTTTTCTTATTTGAATTCGATTCGTCAACAGACAATAAATAAACGTTGGATAAGGAAAAGAAGAATATTTGTCACATAATGTTTGTTTGGGAAAGTCATACAAATATACAATTATCTCTCAGATTAAATATCAAAACATTTTAACGAAAATATACATATAATATAATTTCGATTTTTACACATATCTAAATGCAAATTTAGTCAACTGGTAATCCGTACGTAAGAGAGAAAAAACACACATTCATTTGTAAATAATGAGTCACATCTTCTCTACGTAACGCAACTAACTTATTCGTTACATCAAACGTGTAATACGCAAAACATACGAGATAATTTATTTTTCAACTAAAGTTTTTCTCTACATTTCATAGCAATCATATTTTATTCATTTAACCTTTCGTAGTCAGACGTGAGTCTCCCAGACTCACTCAGAAATTGGCGTTTCTAGAAAAAATTAGTTTTTTTAAACGCTTATATTTTCGAAATTACTAGAGATTTTTTCAATTTGTTTTTTTGATTGACGCAAAAGTGTTCAAGCTTTTTTTTTGAGTAAAAAAAAAAAAAAATTGAAAAAATATAGATTTTTCGCGGAGATATTTGATCTTAAAGCCGCGTGGAGTTTCACAGACAGCCTGACTAACTCGTCGTCATTTTTGAAGTCTGACCACGAAGGATTAAACTTGAAAATTTCTCTGCAAAAATCACAGAGCTGCTTTTCGCCATCTCTCTTCGGTACATACACTTTTGTTATCATTGTTCATCCTTCACTAAAAGTCGATCGCATTGTGTGTCACTCGACGAGCGTTCATATGAAACACATCACTTGAAATGATCTTATCACACATGAAAAAGGTTCGTCTATTCTTTGTGTATGTACACTTAGAAGTGCGGACCAGTTAACAGCTGACTCTCGCGGCAAGTGAGTGGAGAAAAACCGATCGATCGTGATGCTGTCTCTCTCTCTCTCCTCTTCAAGACCCGACCTTGTATCTGTTTGAAGTGGCCCGATCTCGAATAGCCGTGTACAAAAAAGCGATTTTGTAGCCACATTTCTTTTCGCGACATCACTAAATATTTACTTTATTTTCATCTCCGCCATCGTGACAATCTTCCGCGCTGTGATCGCAGGCGTGGGAATTGCGCGCATAAATCGGAATCGCGTCGTGAGCGAAAGCGACTCATCCCCGCTCGATGCGACCCAGCTCGATAAATATTTACGACTGTTCCCACTTTGGTTCTCGCGGAATCCGGCACCATTGTACTTTGTAATATAAAGCAACGACGACGTGGGTGCATCGTAGATGTATGATTTCCATTGATACATATTTATCGTGTATATTCTTCCGTCGAACACTCGAACGAATTCCGATAATAATGTAATTATTATAAAAAATTGCTGAATAACTTCAAGTATTTTCTGTTATATAAAATATTATACGCGCTACTCAAGAACTTTAATTGCAGTGAAATCCAAACTCCAGACTGTAAAGTAAATAATTAATTTTAATTTCACAGTTGCGTTTAAACAATTACAATAATTTCATGCTTGTTTTACAATTTACAACAATATACAACTTTAAAATGTAAAACGTGGAACAGAAAACGTGGCTCGCGAAATGCAAGATATATGCAAAAGTAAAACAAACATACATTTGTTTTTAAGATTAATTTTCTGATAACGTGTACTTTAGCATCTTTTGTTGTGATAATCTGAATTTTTGAAGTTCAGTACAGGTTTTTACATTGTTATCTGAATTGAATGAAAACGCTGATTTCTGAGTGGATCTGAGTAAAACTCACGTCTGACTACAAAGGGTGAAGTATCTACATTGTATAAATATTTATATAATATTTATATAATATCTACAATATATATAAATAATGCGGAGGAACTCTTTCTTTTTTTTCCACCGAAATAGAAAAAGAGAGGTAGGAAAGAGGGAAGGAGAGAGAGAGAGACATGTACACACATCTTGCAATGCATCATGAGACAGTAGTATTCGCTGTATGGGAAACGATATTGCGGGAGCCATCTAATATTTGCGAACAGATTTCCGGTTCGCAGACAGTTAATAAACTGCGCTTCTTCCCGAAAGCACGTCGGTTTCTCTATGTGCTTTAATAAACGGTGTAACGCCAAAGATTTTCTCATCTAACTTTGCGTTTAAGTGTGTTGACACGTAATTAACGAATAGTCGAATAGTATAATCGAATTATCGTATAAATTCGATTCCACATAATAATTTTACGCTTGAATTCCGCGAAGGATAAACGAGCTAGTCAAGCGTGCTACTGATTGCCGAGTAACAAAACTTTCTCCACCAGCTCCTCTGCTTATCAGTTCCTCTTTCTTTGTTGAACTTTGGTAACTTGGAAATTTTTAATCCCCTTAACTTTTTAAAGTTTGCTAACTGTGGCAAATGGTACTGGTTCTCACGTGCAATTTCAAGTTTCTTTATGTAAAATCTTTTGCAGGATAAATGAAACTCTCTGACGGAGTCATTTAGCGTAAAAAGTAAAATAACAGTATATAAGAGACGCAGTTTTTGCAAAGCAATCGTGAATTAGGTGTGTCGACCGCATTTCTGTTCCGCAATTTATCGCCATTTTTTACAAACAAGATTTTTACATTTGCAATAGCGTAAAAGAGACACATTACATTTAAAAACCCGCTTTAAACGAAGAAAAAATCTCTTTTGACAGAGAATTAGTCCGAAAAAAAAATCAATCAGATTATTGAAAACTCGAATTACAAAAGAAATATTAATGAAAGGAAAATTGCAAATATCGGCAATATGCATTTTTTACTATAATAAAATTGTACTTGCTCATAAAATATTAAAAATGAGTATTATATTCGCAAAATTAACCTAACAAACTGACAAAATATTAATTTGATTTTTCTTTTTGAAACAAAAAAATGTTATAAACAACATGTTGCGACATCACAATGTTCTTTTATATAATATATGTTTGCTTGATGTTATTGACAACTCTTTTTA